GGGGGGGGGGGGGGGGGGGGGGGGGGTTTATTAATCAAGGGACTACATTAGCGTGGCACTTGTTCCTACTAAAGGCCTCTTCTGCTTTCAGGTCGCCTCCCTTGCCCCGCCAGGTTTGTCGCCTCCCACGCCTTGCTGCGCAAAGGCTCTGACCACTTGATGCAGCCGCTCCTTCGAGCGAGTCGCCTCTGGCAGAACGACCTGCCGGCGTGGGGGAGAACGCACCGCGCAGGGTGGGCTGTAGCTGTGGCACAGAAGGTTGGTAAAGAAAAACCTCGTATGAGGCCAGGGAGAAGTTCCTCAAAAGCACTGTAAATGGGAGGAATAGAAGCATTGGCAAAAATACAAACACACACTTTATATCGGATGGTGTTCTTCGTATACTGACTTATCCTTGTTCTTTATTGGTATCTGCATGATAGTTCCCGCTGTATTGAGATTCAACTTCAACCACGTCCGTAGAAGGAATCTGTGCTTTCCACGGGTCAAGTAACACTTCTTGGAGCTCTGCTGGAATAGAGACAACCTGAGGTTGTATGATACAATCGCGGGCAGCAAAATCCTGCACATGGGGAATCCCTGACCTTATACATAGTGGTGTCAAACACTTCGAAGCCTCAATCAGCCTGCTTCCAAAATCCCACATTGATTCATACTCCGCGCAGGAAACAGGGTCAATGTACCCCGGTGGTCAAAGCAATCCGGCAGCAAACGTACACCACCGTATACCCGAACAATCCTGTGGATTGCTCGATCTTCTATGTTTTGAGGTTCGAGACAATATCTCATATATCCCAAAGCACCGCATGTGTGGGGAGAGTTACTTGCATAAATGTGGGTCCCAGGGTAATTTTCCATGGGGTAAATGTATTTCAGTAAGTCCAAACATGGATGGAATGGTATCAAGACTTTCCATCGTATCCCGTCCCGATCTGCAGCCCACCTCCAGGTCGCCAGAAATGCCAGCAGCTTCACAAAGCTTCAGCAGCACCTCGTCCAGCTGCTCGTGCCGTGCAGGTGGTTTCCACGTGTGTAACCTGCAATTCACGGAGGCGTGGAACCATACATGATAGGATAGACAACCTGCTCACCCACGGAGCAGGTTGGGAACAAACGATAAATCATTGGTCAAGGTGTTGCCCGGATTGAACATACACACCCACATCAATGGTCTGGGTTCCTAAGCAAAAGTGACGTTTTTGGTCACGTTTGGTCACTCAATCGGTTCCGCATCACCTGTGAAGCTGTAGCGTGGGTTGAGGGAACCCCAACAAGATTGACCATACCCAGACACTCCATGGGACTGCCATATATGCCGATCAGTTGGGGTGGTTTGGGAGGTCAATGTAAGCATATATGGCAGACATGGAGTGTCTGGGATAACATCTGAAGCCCTAGGGAAGGATGCGCCACTTTAGCTTAATCTTGAAAGACCCATTGAACTGCGAAGCTTTTTCTTGAGTTGAAGCCAGCGAAGGCCAATTCATGCAGTTCTTTGGACAATGCTTAAAGATTTGCCCGGTCAGCCATGTGAGTGATGGTCAAGATTTATTGTGTGACTACAGGACATCAGGATTTGGGCATTGTGTGCGCTTTTTACATGCTTCACATGCTATATGCTATTCTATCTTTGTGAGGGTGTTCTGAGAAAAAGAACACAACGGCATTGTTGGATCATGACCAACCCCCAACATTGCTAACTTGACTCTAGCTCATATCGCCCTATCACTCAATGATTGAAGCATTCCGCAAAAGACACTCAATTCGAGAAGCCTCGGCAGCGGCCTCATCACTCTTGCTTTCGCTGGGCATCAGAGAAGATCTGCCCGTGTGTTCAGTGCGCATAGCATATAAATCTTGTCAAACGTGTCCCTCAAAGTATTGGGCAATATTTGAACAACAACTGAACTACTCTATTGGTTCAGATTATATAGTCGAGAGTCGATAGTAAATACAGATATCAATATTAGACCAATGATATATGTCGACTCATAGACCTAGTCTATTCCATTCATATTATTGGTCTATGAGTCGTTAATGTAGTCACATATAGTCTTCGTACTATGACAATCCCTCCTCTTTGAGTATTTGAGTAATTACATGTTCTGTATCTCACTGATCCCCCCAACGAATTTGAGTGGCCACCAACGTTTGCGTGTTCTTGGAGCAAGACCAAAAGCCGTTCTTGGGCCCGGAGAAAAACTCACATCGTGAACTTGTTGCGTGAAGATTGCAGCTGTTGCCATCCTACCAGGTGCCACATGGCCTGGACGTTCACATCCAAACAATGTGTCTTCACAGCCAAACAATGGGCTGGAGAAACAGACAGCGGAATCCTCCATATCGTCTTCGGCGAAAGACATATGAAACAACAACATCTACGAAGTGAATCTACAACTCTCTGAACCTCCATCCTGCCACGGTTTGGAGCAGCCTTTAGGCTCTTGGCTTGAGTGTTCACGGCTGCATGGTGGACCATGAGGACCATATCTCCAATGTGACGTCTGGTCTCGAAACGCAAACACTCCCATGTCCCAAATTGGTGGTGGCATGTCCTGACAGAAGTTTCTGCTCAAACTCAACGGTTCCAGCTTGCTTGAACACATGGTGGAGCACATTTTTTATGGTGGAGCACCCTTGATCTATGATCAATTGGGTGTAGTCCATAAGGCCAGAATGAACCCCCAAAGAAGCACCATTCTTTTCATTTCATGCTGACCCATCATTAGGGCAGGATCCTTCTACTCTGACCGAAGTTCCGTTTTGGACGACCACCCTAAAAAGCACCAGTTTTGGACCGTGGCCTCTCACTTGGGGATGGGTGGCCACCGGAACGTCTCCTCGAAAACCCCCGTCGTGGATGTTCTGAAGAACTTGAGAGGTACCGCAATGCCATGGCGGTAGGGGACACTGAGTTCACCATCAACTATTCAACGCCCCCAGGTCTTTTTGGATGATTCTGGTGGAGAGTGGTAGCTTTCAACATGTCGAGCAGAATATGATTGCCAAAAATTCTTGAGGGTAGTCAGCGGCAACTTGCTACCCACAGCACAGGTTGGGTCTATTTTCCTTCTTCCACAGGGGTTCTCCAAAAAGTCTCCCTCTTCTAGCGCACACCTTGGGTATATCCCATTTGATGATGGCTAGCTTGGATGATGATGGCTAGCTTGCAGGCCGACCTCGCAAAAAAAAAGATAATTTTTTGGACGCACCCTAATTATGCATCCACATCTATTCAGGGAACCAACACCATCTCCACCCAGGCAGCGCACACGCCCCACAACGTCTGGGCAGCGCACAGCACGTAGCGCCGTTGCGGCATCGTCAGACCGCAGGCGCGTGCGCCCCGCAAGAGCATCGGCCTGAAGTGCCGAGCCCAGCTGGGTGGCGAGTGGGTCGATGTGCTCTGCCGCTTTTTCAGTCTCCGGCTGCAGCGGGACTTGCAGCGTGATGTTGTCCCAACATGTCCCAACTAAGGCAGATTGTGTACGCATAGGTTTGGTTGAGTTTTTAGTAATATGAGTTATTGCCGGCTGCAATGAATGAGATTCTATCTAATTCTATCTGATATTCTTCGTTGTTGACTACAATGCAACTGAAGTCCATTAACACCAGCTCCAATCAACAACCCAACTGGGAAACCGGCTTGGTTCTTGACACTTTTGACTTCATGGCAGGTCTGTTTGAAACCCTTTTAAAGGCCTGGGATGTGTTTTTCAGCATGTTTTGTTCACGTTGCAACAGTCCGGCCAGGGGCCCGTCATCGGGCCCGGCATCTGGCGGTGGCATCCCGCAGGGTTCTCTCCTCTCCGAAGGAGAGAGCCCGCTTGGCGTCTCGGCTCTTCATGAAAGGTGGGAGGGTCGATCATGATGTCGGTTTGTTGGGTGCGGTGGGTGGTGAAATGTGTAGGTGTGGTCTGTGTGGAGTGGTGTTGCAGGACCAGGGTCCGGGCGGAGAGTGTGGGGAGATGGCGAATGGTCGGTGGAAGGTGCACAGGCTGCAAGCCACTAGGGGTTGGGAATGGTGCCTCAGTGGTGGCTGGTATTGGATGGTCGTCAGCTTCCGCGTCCGGGTTGCGGAGATAGAGACTGGGCGGATGGCGCCCCAAATAGTCAAGGGCGTCGAGGGCCCGTCGAAGGTGAACGTTTGCCAGGTTGAGGTTGGTGTTGTAGTGGTGGATATGCCTTTGAAGTGCTGGTGGTAGGGCTTGCTGAAAGGGTTGATGGAGCAGTGCTTCTTGCCCTTGCCTTTGCCAGCCGGTGGCGCTGCGTCTGAGTGCCGCCCAGCCTGCGTCATCTTCCTCCAAGCCCCAGTCCAAGGTGCCCGCGCCGCGCTTCTTCCCTCCACCGAGCTTTTGCTGATGGAAGGCGGCGACCAAAGACCACACCAGCGCCTCTTGATCTTCGGGCGCCTTGAGATCCTTGAGCCAAGCTTTCACATCCGCCGGTAGGTTGAGTTCTTGTCCCACCTGCCGCACGCCGGCGGCCATCACCTTCGGATGGGTCAGGGCCGTCACGGCCTCTAGCCCCTCCATGGCAAACAAATGGAGGCGCGTGGCAAGCCACAGCATTTTGCGGAACGTGGCCACCCCCTGCCGCCGACCCCAGGCCGACCCAGGGGGGGCAACGTCCGCCCCCTGTGCTTTACAGAGGATTCTGCGTGCGACGTTCAAAAAACACAGTGTTTTACAGGGTTTTGTGGGGGTGGTAGATCAAAAAATTTCGTCATTGGACAACGGTCACGAAATGCAAAAACCGTGGGTTTTTCAAGGGTGGTGTCGGTAATGCGCGCCGCGCGGACATGCGGAATCGGTTTTTTGGGGTGATGGGCCCGTGTCCACATAAATTGCACAAAATGTGCCCGAAGATGATCCAACAGAGGCTGAGGTCCCCAAGATGACCCAACATAGGCCCAAGATGGGCCGCCGTAGGCCCAAGATGGGCTCAACATAGGCCCAAGAAGTCCCAAGAGGCCCATGTCGACGGCGGCGACGACGACCACAACAACAACAACAACAACCACCACCACCACAACAACAACAACAACAACGACAACCAATGGTGGGCCCCTGGCCGGCTGTCGGGTGTCAGCCCTTAAATAGATTCTCCAAGAAGTCTACAAAGAGAAGCGGTTTGAAACGTTTATCCCGCTTCCCATGGAATCCCGTGAAGAAAACATGAACAGTTATCAGCGTTCGTCTAACAAATCAGTTAAAACCACATGGCCGTGGGTCAAAATCCCGGAACTTCGCGAGATACGTGATGTCCGTTTTGATTCGTCCACCAGTCGCGACGGTGGTTTTCTTCACTCCTGACCGGTCCCCCGCCCGGAGGGTGACCCACCCATGTCCAGAACGGCAAGTATACTTGCGCAAAGTCACCGAAATAAGTGAGTTGGTTGTGTTCCCAAGTGACCACCCTTTGTCTTGCTTTGTTGAGTGCCCACCCTTTGTCTTTATCTCGGTCGGTGCCCCAATACTGCGAAGTATTCAGAATCGGATTCATCATCCGTTCACATCACAGCACTAAAACAAAACTAAGAAACATTCTAAATACCAGGACCCTCCTGTCGGGGTGTCCTGGCTGGACTACCCCACACTACCAATAGGCTTCCATTGGGCACCCCTTGGAGGGTCCTGGTAGAACACACAATTAACACACAGCACTAGAACTGTTCACAAATGCCCCAAAAACACAAGTAAGGCCCCCAACACCACAGCTGCATTGCCAGCACCCTCCTTCAAGCAGCGAAGCCTAGACATGCGCCGCTCGATTGGGAACCTATGAAATTCACCGGCAAACGGTTTGGGTACGACAAATGAAGCAAACACTCTTCGCAAGAAATGTTCCTGCAACATTGATACCTTGTTTGCCGTTGTGGATAGGGCTGGATAAAGTATTTGCTGTTTTGCGTTTTCCTTAAATGTGAACGCTTGAGGAGAGTGATCTTCAAAATTTCTCTGGTGCATGGAATTTGCGTGTGCAGGTCGGTCAATGGCAGGAGCAAGTAGCATCTTCAAAAGTTCAGTTGGCCATAGCATCCATGGATTCATGTGATTTCGTTGAGAATGCCTTCACCATCATCGATCGGTGAACAAATAAGACGTTGGCACCATGATTGGTTGTACATCGGAAGCGTCTTGCTTGACTTTGATTTGTGTTTTTCTTGTGAATGCTCACAACATGATGCACAACAAAATGTTTCCGTCATTAGCAAGGAAATTCGGAATGGCCTCTTTCATTAGTTGTCTTTCGGAGGAAAGGTGCTAACATGGTGCAACATGACCCCAGAATGGAATTAACCTGGTCTTGGCGAAAAGCAAACGGGTTGGCTTGTCCACGCGTGATGCAGAGTTTGAAACAAACAGTCAAAAGCTTATCGGTGGCATGGCTTGAACCTGCCTTGTTGCTTCAGGAAATATTCCAGGTAAAACAAGTTGACATGTCCGAGAACAACCGTGAGACAAAATCGGTGCTGCCCACCTCGCCAAGATAATCATTGTAATCCTTCATCTTGGGTCTATCCTATTAGCAGGGCCCAGTGGATGATGCTTAGGTTGCAGGCCTTGTTCCAAAATCGTGTTATATAGCTGTTTACTATTGTTTACTGACTGTTACTGGTTCACAAACCCTACGTAGCAATCCTTCATCAACTGTTCGTTCACCAGGACAACCGCGCGTTAGAGGGCTCTGGCCCTGGCCGTCTTCAGAAGCCGGAGCCCAGGCCGTCTTCAGTGGGGCAAACCAGATGCCAAGCGCCCCAAACGCTCCGTGGCACTGCCATCTTTGC